ACTATGTTTACTTTTGTGTGACAGCCCATACATTTCGATCGATTTGATGCAGAGACCTTTCGCCACTTTTAACAAATGCTGAACAGTGATTGAAATTCCGATTACCTGTTTATATGTTTCTATATTCTTCGGAGTTTCCGGAAGATTCCGTGCATGCACTATGTCACAATAGGTTGACTCTTGTACAAGGTCTTGGCCAATGTCAAGAAGCAATTTCGTCATATGGGGAGCATTATTGTGGAGCTGAAAACAAAAGAAGTTGAGCATTTCAGCAAGTCATCAACAGAATTGAACTTAAGAAGCTTTCGAAAGTTTATCAAATTCATAAGCTGAAAACTGTTCTGAACACTAGGTGAAGTCAGACACATTCTGTTAGCCTATTCAAACATAAGACTTCAAATGAGGAAGTTATGAGGATATTCTGTTACGGATCGAACGACTTGTAAGTTTTCTGTTGTCTCAATAGGATTTTAGAATTCAAATAGGTAGACAATGACTAAGTAGTGTGTTTTTATAATGTACGTAGAATGATAAAACTGAGTAAGCTCTTCAGAGAGATTTAACCAAAATACACATTCGAGATTCCCCATTAACTTAACTTTCTTAAGTCTAAGAATGGTAGAATTGCGCAAAAAAGTGCGCAAACTATTCCTTCTTTTGTAGAGGATGCATCCTAAGACTAAAGACTACCCACATGTGAAGCATGCGTAACTGCGACAGATATAAGACCATGTTTGGAGAAAACATGACTGGAAACTATCTCGCTACTTCGTATGCCGCCTGATACTATATATATAAACCATGAGCCTGAATGCACAAAAACCTAACAATTTTACCTTTAAATTTTGTCGCTCCTTCTTTTCAGCTTCATTTAGCTTCGGTCGCTCCTCTCCAAACATCCGCGTTATAACCTTGGAAAGCGGGTGGTCCGGATCATGTTCTATCAGCATGTCAACGGTCTAAATTTAAAAGAGTGCCGTTTAGTACATTTAATTTCCAACATCCACAATCCAGCTAGAAAAATGATTGCAAACTAACCAAGCTTGGAGGGAAGGATATGGTATTAGGTAACACAAGTTGTTTGTCAAGTATGAGCTTTCGCACACTTAATGGCTCCTTCTGTACTTGAACGTTTATCGCTCCTAATAATGCATCAAGAACCTTCCTATCAATGTTCCTTTTGTTATCGATGGCCTAAATTCGTTTACTGCACTATAACAACACAAAATAAGATTCAAAAAACGACATAATCTTATACACATTCTCTTTACTTACATCTGAAACATACTCCTCTAATTTGTTTAACAATGCTC